CCCCCAACATTAGACTGGCCTCATCACTTCCTGTTTTTACATCTCTTTTAAAAACTCACCTGTTCGCTCTGACTTTAAATTCAGTGAGATTTTTTTTCTGCATTTTATTGTTCTGTGTTTTTTTTTTTTATCTTTCTTATGCTTTTAAATTACGGTATGTTGTTTGCTGTTTATTTTGACTTTTTTACCTTCTGTGTTCAGCTCTTTGGTAACAAGTTGTTGTTTTTAAAATGTGCTTTATAAATAAATTTGATGATGATGATGTTAGGCAAGCATTCTCATCAACAACCAACCAATTGGCGATCCATGTTAATTGGCAAGTGACACGTCCCATAGCTTAGATTTTCACAACCAACACTTTGCGGATTTTGTGAAACATCTAGAAATAACTCACACTTTCACAAACACCTTTGTTTAATATTACTTACCCACGTTTGCAACTGCAAAATTCATCCAAACAGTATTTGTARTCACAGCCAGTGTCACTTTCTGACCCTCACCGTTCTTTGGCTTTCTTTAAATAATTCCTCAAACTCTTGTGCGACTCGTTAGAAAACTTGGTTGCCTCAGTGTTGGCTGATGTGGGAACATTATCTCTAGTAACACCGTCAGCTTCATAACATTATGTCTGTGTAGTTTACTTACTCTAGATCAGAGATGACCAACGTGGGGTACGTGGGCCAGAAATGGCCCACCAAGCCATTTAATGTGGTCCACCAGCAATCTCATGTCGTCACATGTAAAAACAGTTTTTCCACTTAGTCATATACTCTGTTGGCCTGATGACTATACAAGTGGCTGTAATGCAGATATTTTTCACTCATCTTTGAGTTATATGAAGATTAAACATGCAATACAAGTAAATACAAAAGACATTTAGATTAAATTTAACCACATGTAGATTTGCACACTTTATAAGACCTCAGATACTCATATTTGATCAATTTACAAAAAGACCCATGAGMCTTTGCTGCCCGAGCGTACGTCAATCTTTCTCCAAGTGCATGAGCCTTAAAACTAGCAAACAACAAACGTGGGTCAGCGCTTCAACTGCTTAATCATAAATAAAAGGATTTTACTTAAAAGCTAGCTGCGTTTCATGTATTATCATTATTAGCCCGCAGCTCTCGAATGTCATTTTGGCCCACTCAGAAAAAGTTTGGGCACCCCTGCCCTAGATCCAATGACCGTGTGGGCGGAGCATGTCAGTTAGGAAACCTTTGCCTTACAGAGTACATTCCTTTGCATCTTTTTCTCCAATTTATCTATGAGGCCTGATGCAATTAGACACCAACTGTCCCGGTTTCCTGTTGCTCTGCAGACGTCCTGTGTGTGCACGGTTGTTATAACGAAGCTTTGTGTTGACAGTGGCACGGCTGCTCGCTGGTCTTTGGGATGCTGGAGCACCTGCAGCAGCACCTGGTCGATCACCACGCCTGTACCAACTTCCAGTCGCTCAAGTGTCGCTGGAAGAACTGCGAAGAGATTTTCTGCTCGCGCAACAGCTCCAAGCAGGTATTCAGCAGAAAACAAGTCACATTACCGACGGACTTGTTTGGTGTTAGTTTGTAGAGTCGCTGTTAAATTTATTCACCCAGCTTAACCTGGGAACCATTTCAACTATGTGAATAAAAATTGTGAATATGAATAGAAATCAGCAACAAATACTAAACTGTAGATGAGATTTTTAAGAGTATATTGCATGTGCTCTTTACCACTCTTAATCACAGCCAATTTTGTCTTTAACTACAGCAAAAGGACAAATACTTTTTTTCCCCTTTTTTTAGATTTGTTTTAGCTCTTTGTGACACTGAAATAAGTCCAGTAATTCAGTTTAGTCTCATGTCTCTTTAAAGGACACTTTTAAATCTCAAGATCTCRGTCAAAAATGTATTGAGGTGTGGCTTCAGAGCAGGATTTTATTTAGTTTTAGACAAATTATGGAGGAATTCTGCTTTTCTTCCATGTATTCTGCTGTACCGTTAGTGTCTTACCTTTGAGTAATTAGAATTATTTAGAGTTTTATTAGGTTGGCATTATTTAAGTAGCTTCTTAAATTCATTTTAAATAGTTAAGTTGATTTAAAAATGTCTCCTTGAACTCAACAGGGTTCATTTCTGTGATTGTGTTGTCTGTTGCAGGTGATGATGCTGCACATGCAGAAACATGCCGAGGAGCCGACAGAAGTGGAGCATTAAGTGGGGGGAACGTAGTTTCACCCYGAGCCCCTCCGCTTTCCTGCAATCTTAACCCCCGCCCCCCAGGTTAACCTCCCATATTGGGGGGGCATTTTCTCGGGACCCTCTTAGCTCAGCAGTGCTCCCCAGGAGCCTGATGAGTGATGTTTGATGACGTCATCTTTTATATTCGGTGTTGGAATCCAACCTTAATACGGTGACGAAAGGAGGGATGTTTTATTGTTTGTTTTTTTTTAAACACACTAAAAAAAACACTTCCTGTCTTTTTGTCTGACCAGTGACCACTGACTTTTTCCTCTTCCACCGACCAAAGTGAGACAAAGAAACACGACTTGTTGATTGAAGAAACCTCAGTGTTGCCAGTATCTGAGGGATTTGTTGCTCTGTTCTGTTACAGCACWGTATGGTATGGTTGAGATGTATTTGTAGTTGTGCATTTGTGATGTTGAGCAACCTGTAGTTGTTTTTTTTTTCTTCTAGAAGTGATTTTGTTTTCATGGCCAGAACGAGTTATTGTTTGTGGAAAGGCCAAGATTTGAAGATCTGATATTTGTTTAGTTTTTATTTTGAAAAACAAATTCTGAAGATCCTTTTTTTTTGGTTTCGTTAGCTACGTTTCCATGTTTTATTTTTTCTGCTCACTCAGGTGTGTGAGGAGACTTTCACTACATTTGAGGTTGCCTTTTGAGAATATTAATTTATGGTGGGGTTCATGATTTATTTTGTGTGGAGAGAACTCCCAAAAAAGAATGTTGGTTTTCCAAGAGTAAGTGTGAGATGATGTTTTTAAAACTTTTTTTTCCCTGTGTGGACTTTATTATTATTTTTGATTTTATCAAGCAGAAAGCACCGGAGCTTTATTTTCCAGTGATGATAGTATTCTCACRTGTAAAGTTGACGGATGTTTACAGGAGGTGTTTGATGGCAAATATTGAAAGGAAGAAGTGTTTCATCTCCCATGCCGTACCTTCTCATGTTCCATCAGTGGTTARACTTAAACCCTCTTTTTAATGAATGTTAAAACCCAGCTGATGTTTTAAGCAGACTTTATTGCTTAAGTTCTCACGTCTCACAGGTAATGTCTTTTCTACTCTTTTCACGTTCGCAGTTCACCTCTTCACTGGCATTCCTGGGTTTCTTCAAAAATTTCATTTATCGACATTGTGAAGATTTTTTTTAAGTATTCTGA